TATACAAGCCTCCTACTTAGAAAAAATTTGGTCTAAAAACTTAAGAGCTTTAGAAAAGGCACTTTATACTGTGATTTAGGTAACTAATATTGGCCCTTCCTTGCCCCTTGCTGCAAAGATTCCAGATGTTAAGGTTAAAATTAACACTCTCCAGTTGGAAAGCACAGCCTTGATGTTAAGGTTTGAAACAGGTTTTTTATGCTAATGGGAATAGAGCTTCATCACGTTAGCCTCTAAATTAAGCCACAGGGCTTCCCAATCCAGAATTGAGCAACTATTGGATGAGAGTGGTGTTAAAGTTACTCATCCGGTCAAGATAAGCAATTTGTTTGAGGAGTATTACAAAAAAATTTACAATTTGGTTTCCGATCCCAATACGATACAGCCCACATCTGATACAATACGCTATTTTCTGGTCAGGGTCTCTTTAAAACATATACTTACGGATAAATTGGATACTCTAAATTCTCCTATCACCTCAACAGAAATTATAGACGCCATTAATATAATCCCACAAGGCAAGGCCCTGGGGCCTGACGGTTTTATCATGACGTACTATAAGTCTTTCTCTGGCATTCTTAACCCTCATTTAACTCAATTAGTCTATCATGGAGGGACTCTTATAACTCTTATCTGGGCATTCCCTATGCAAGAACCTATCCAATATGCATTCTTATAACCTTTGTAAGGTCTGGTCCGACTTTAGGAATGATCTTAAGAGGTGGTGTAGCATATAAATCAACGTTTCGACCGTCTAGCGTTTGATTTAATATATTTTTTTCTACTAAATCCAATGAGTACTCTCAATTTGTTCCATTTATATATATATATATATATATATATATATATATATATATATATAGTATTCAAATGTATCCAAGCGAAAAAAGATCATGATCAGCTTGTTGCTGGATCCAAAATAACTAATTAACCCAGGTGAATACCTAACATATAAGAGATATATAATAGTCAGGACAAGTACTTGTCATATGGGTAAATGTGAACAAAAAAATTATCTATACATGCATCTAAACTACTGCAACTGAGAGTATAAAACACAAAACCCTGAATGTGCCTTCAAAGGCACCTAAACCAACAAGGTGAGGAGTACTAGACTAATTCTATAAAAAAATAAAGCTAGTGGTTTAATTCATAAGTGAATCCTAAACCTCGTTGTACCAGAGGTAAGGAATGCACAAAGCCCCAACACAAGTTTCAGGCAGCTCTTCAAGGAAGGCCAAACTGAAAGCATAGCTGACCAGTATTATTTTTACATAAATTGTAATGCTCTCTGGATAAAAGCATGAACCAAATGTAAGAACTGTTACATAAATGAAAAAATATAAATAATATGTGATACATGTTTAACTCCATTTTATGGTATATAGATGGGGACATGATATTTTGGAATTTAACAGGCCTGTAGAAATTTGGTTAATATGCATATTTGGATGTGACCAACATCTGCATTCTTCTCCTAGGCAATGTCTTTGAGTTTCCTAATTGTTTAGGATATGCTAAATTGGTTTGATGGGAGAAACTTGGAATGTCTGGGTGGTTTTGTCATCATTGAGGTGGCATTTTCTTGATAACAGAGATGCAACAGTGTATTTGATAGCAAGCCAGTAGAAAGTGGGTAAGTGGAGGTCCAGGAATTTTTCACTTCTGCATAGGTCATAATCAATGAAGAGAACAAGAAGACAGAATAAGGAATGGCAGCAATTTATATCCTTTTCCAAGTCATAAATGGGTAGTGTCAGACTTATTTTGGATAAAATTGAAATTAAATTATACCGTAAAGTCACTACTTAGCAGATGTGACTCAATTTTGCAGCCTGCTGTAGCAGAATGTAAAAGAAACAGACACGTTTTTTTCTCTCACTCTGTTCACTGCCTGACTAAATTACAAATTATATACTAATACCTCGCCTGGATGATAATTTGAATATATTTATAGATAAAATCCTAATGAATAGATCTCATTATTATTAAACTAACATTAGATAGAAGTGTGTAAAAAGACATATACATAATATATTATGACATATTACTAACATAGACACACATAGCCCGATACAATAGGACAGTGTAACTGGGAAATCAGACATGGATAAATGGGATTTCTACAAGACCCCATTGTAAGACTGGGTTGAATTAAAGTCCAGATGCGTCAAATAAATACTTTATAGCTGAAAAGAGCGACTGGTAGTCTAGCTAAGACCTACCAGAATCCTTTAAAATGTGACAGCCATCTATGACTGATTGGCTATAAAGACAACAGTTTTCCACATCATTTTCAATTAACCCCTCAGACAAAGTCCTGATTGGAATAAGTGATAAAAATATTTGTGATGCAACTACGCCATCTTCTGGTTATAATCTATAAAAGCAATCATTATAATAAGGTACACTCCTCTAATCCCATTGGTCACTTCAAAAAGTTGACGTGAAAATTAAAGATAAGGAATTTTTCAAAAGTGGGGACACAATACTCTAGGGAGACTTTTAAAAACTTTCTTGAGACATACTCTTAAAGGAACGCACTCCTGGATCACACTATTGGTAATACTTATTCTAACACACTTCTTTTCCCATCTGGAATTCTAAAACTCTGAATTCTTTGTTAGCCAGACCAACTTTGTACTTAGACATTTTGCAGGACTGTTATTCTCATGCTGATTTCTCTATCTTTAAACACGCTTACTTGCATTCACCATCCATTGGATTACATCTCCAGAATACCAAAAGAATATTCTACTACCAAAATTGGTCAAGTATTTAAATTTTTTTTACTAAACGCAGAAATATACCTGGATAATGCTGATCAGATTTCAAAACTTTTGAAATCATAATTAGCTAGAGGGAATTTTATAATTCAACATATCTGACTAGAGCTGAGAAAAAAGAATTATATATATAAATTCACTGGTAATTTGCTAAGTGTAGCATATCACACTATTATCCAGAGATATTGACATATCTTTAATAAATCGGGGATAAGTTAACATTGTATCACAAAAAAACCCACAGTAAAGCAATTTTAAGGCTTAGAATGTTCTTATGGTTATTGAATGGTAAAGAATAGTTAAGTTGACTATTTTGTGAGGTGAGACATTGTGTATTGGTTTGCGATGCTTAATTGTTTACTTTGTGAGCATTGCAGCCAGCAAACCCATTCTTTTGCAGATTGGAGACACTCTGTGGCTTGCTTTGGGAGGCCCTATTAACTTCCCCGACCAATCGTCTGATATTTCAGCTGGCTCCCGGACACAGAGTGCGAGGCGGTCGACGCCTTTCTCCAGAGTTGGCAAACCCATGCATGCATGCGTTTCCTCCAGTCTCGATGTTGGAGTCAGTTCTCCATCATATCCATGTCCAGAGGGTGTCACTTCTCCTTGTCGCACCCTACTGGCAAAGTCAAGCATGGTTTCCAGATCAGCTAGAGTGGTCTCATGTACACCCTCTTCTCCTTCCGTCCCTCCCTCTACTAATCCCCAATACTGCTTGGATCTAGTGGCTTGGATGTTTTCAGTGGCTCTTAGCCGATTGTCGACTTATCGCAGTCAGCTAAGGAGCTTTAATGGTCCTCATTGTACCAGATGGGGCTACATTTTACCTGGCATACATGGGATCACTGGTGTCTGCAGAAGGATTCCAATCCACTTACAGCACCTGTTCCCTTGATACAGATTTGTTTGTTCCATATCTTTTTTTCTGGGTCAGCTGTATCTTGCTTGATCAATATTATCCGTTCGACCATTTCAGCAACTCATGTTCATGGAATCCCATTGGGTCAGGACCTAGTTTGACGGCTGCTTCATATCTCGCAGTATATACCTCCAGTGCCTAGAGTTCTCATCTTTTGGACGAAGATTTGGTTCTATGGACAGCTCGGCCTTGTGGCTTCTGCAGCTTTTGGCAAAGTTTACACTTTTATTATGCCTGGTCTCGTTCCATAGGGTCGCAGTTGTTTTTGCATTTGACGTCAACTGTTTTTCCTTTTTTTGCCTATAGGGGTTGCATTTTTGATTTTGTGGTTTCTTTATCCGTTGGGTTGTGGTTAAGGCTTTGCTTCACTATGTGGCAGCCACTGCTCCCTTGCAATCGTCTAGGTTGGGTCAACGTTTTATTCCTTGTGTCTAGGGGGTTTACACTACTACAATGGCGGGATGGATTTGCTGGCTGCTGTCACTGGTGAGGGTGAAGTCTTGTTTCGGTGTCCACTCCTGTCATGTTCTAAAATTGTAGAATATAGGTACACTACGTTTGCATAATCTAGAATTATAGCCAGTCTCTTACTTAATGTGTCTCTCGCATTTTGTCACTAAAGGCACACGCTGATGTACGCAGCTTTATGTTATAGTATCATTGATTGTAAGCTTGTTTGAGCAGAACCATCTTCACCTTCAAATATCCTCTTTCTATAAATGTAAAGCTCTGCAATATATGTTGTCATTATTTAAATTATAATAATAGAAACCTAGAATGTGATGGCAGGTAAGAACCTTTTGGCCCATCTAGTCTGTCCAATTTTCTAAATACTTTCATTAGTCCCTAGCCTTATCTTATAGTTAGGATAGCCTTATGCCTATCCCACGCATGCTTAAACTCCTTTACTGTGTTAACCTCTACCACTTCAGCTGGAAGGCTATTCCATGCCTCCACTACCCTCTCAGTAAAGTAATACTTCCTGATATTTTTAAACTTTTGTCCCTCTAATTTAAGACTATGTCCTCTTGTTGTGGTAGTTTTTCTTCTTTTAAATATAGTCTGCTCCTTTACTGTGTTGATTCCCTTAATGTATTTAAATGTTTCTATCATATCCCCCCTGTCTCGTCTTTCCTCCAAGCTATACATGCTAAGATCCTTTAACCTTTCCTGGTAAGTTTTATCCCGCAATCCATGAACCAGTTTAGTAGCCCTTCTCTGAACTCTCTCTAAGGTATCAATATCCTTCTAAAGATACGGTCTCCAGTACTGTGTACAATACTCCAAGTGAGGTCTCACCAGTGTTCTGTACAATGGCATGAGCACTTCCCTCTATCTACTGCAAATACCTCTCCCTATACAACCAAGCATTCTGCTAGCATTTCCTGCTGCTCTATTACATTGTCTGTCTACCTTTAAGTCATCAGAAATAATCACCCCTAAATCCCTTTCCTCAGATGTTGAGGTTAGGACTCTATCAAATATTCTGTACTTTGCCCTTGGGTTTTTACATCCAAGTTGCATTATCTTGCACTTATGCACAATAAATGTCAGTTGCCACAACTCTGACCCTTTTTCTAGTTTACCTAAATCATTTGCCATTTGGCTTATCCCTCCTGGAACATCAACCCTGTTACATATCTTAGTATCATCAGCAAAAAGACATACCTTACCATCAAGACTTTCTGCAATATCACTAATAAAAATATTATAGAGAATGGGTCCAAGTACAGATCCCTGAGGTACCCCACTGGTGACAAGCCCAAGTTTCGAATATACTCCATTGACTACAACCCTCTTTTGCCTGTCACTCAGCCACTGCCTTACCCATTCAACAATATTGGAATCCAAACTTAAAGATTGTAGTTTATTGATAAGCCTTCTATGTGCAACAGTGTCAAAAGCCTTACTGAAATATAGGTAAGCAATGTCTACTGCACCACCCTGATCTATAATTTTAGTTACCCAACCAAAAAAAATCAATAAGATTAGTTTGGCATGATCTCCCTGAAGTAAACCCATGTTGTCTCTGATCTTTAAATCCATGTGTTTTTAGATGTTCAACAATCCTATCCTTTAACATGGTTTCCATCACTTTCCCCACTACTGAAGTAAGGCTTACTGGCCTATAGTTGGCTGACTCCTCCCTATTACCTTTCTTGTGAATGGGCACAACATTCGATAACTTCCAATCTTCTGGGACTACTCCTATTAACAATGATTGAGGTCCCATTGACTTATTTGTCTTTACTTTTGACAGTTGAAATAGAACCTCTTCCTTTGTAAACTCACATGTAATAAATGACTAATTTATCCTTTTTCGTAACTGAGGTCCCTTTCCTTCATTTTCATCTGTAAATACCGAACAAAAATATTCATTGAGGCAGTCAGCTAGACCTTTATATTCTTCTACATATCTTCCTTCTTTTGTTTTTAATCTAACATACTTGTTTTACTTTTCTCATTTATGTATCTAAAAACAGTTTTGTCCCCCTTGATTTGGAAGCTCTTCTAACTTGCTTAGCCTCTTTCTGCCTAATCTTATAGATCATTCTGTCTTCCTCACTGTTTTTTTTTTTTTTTTATAATTACTAAATGCTAACTTTTTGTTTTTTACTATTTTGTCCACATCTGCGGAGTACCACAGTGGTTTCTTGAATTTTTTGCTTTTACTTACAAGCATAATGCAATTTTCTGTTGCCTTCAGCAGTGCAACTTTTAAATAATCCAATTTCTCTTGGACTCCACATAAATTGCTCCAGTCTGATAATGACTCCTTTACACATATTCTATTTTATAGAAAAGTCTAATGAGTTGGCCCTAGCTATATTATGAACTGAGTGTTGTACATAGCTCTGTTACCTCAGTGCATGACTCACAGCCATGTTGTCTTCTG